AGGGCTGGAGATTTAGCTCAGTGGTTCGGTGGCCTGCCTTGCATGTGCAAGGACCCGAGTTCAATCCCCAATACCAAAAAGAAGAAAAAAAAAATTGAGTATTCATGTCCTGGATGAGTCGCTGCAGAGTGGTGGCCCTCACGAGGGGGCCGTGCAGGCTCCCAGCCAGAAAGTCACCACCCCAGGGAGCAGATGGGCACTGAGTGAGTGTCCGCCAGGTCTGGGCTGCTGTGGCCAGGGGACATGGAGGGATGCGTGGGTGTCAGGCTATGGATTACCCTGCAAGGCCCACCAGGGTTCCAGGAGCCAGGGCTGCAGGGTGGTTGTGAGGGAGGCAACAGAGAGGCTCCTGGCTGCAGTTTTCTGTCACTTAACTTCATCTGCCCTTCCCTCCCTTCATAGTGGCTATCAGTTTCCCAGCATTTTCTAGTAGAGCTTCACACAACCTCAAAACACACATTCAATGGGACTATCCTCCTTCCTGTTCCCATATTCTTAGAGAATTTCTGCTGTTGGAAAATATAAGGAAAAAGAAGTGAACAGGTGCCTTTGATTGACTTCATCTTTGGGGAAGAAAATATTATGAAACTCACTAAGCTCTTATTTACTTAGACCCCAAATCTTCACAACCTGCCTTGATCTGGATCTTTACTGGACCAGGCCATATAGAACTCATGCATGATCCAAGTCTCCCTTCCTTCCCTGGCTCCACCCTGTGCCACTATAGCCACTTCTCACACCTGTATGCTAGGAAGCCAACATCTCTAAGGACCAACAGCATCTTTGTTGGGAGCAGCTGTGGGGATCATTTTAGCTGTGTGCACCTGTGCTGAGAGACATCTACTTCCAATCTGGCTTGATGCTAGTGACGCTGAGTTGTTTCCTCATGCTGTGCCCATATCTCAGAGGGAACAGTAATGATAGTGTGAAAGATGAGTTGGCCCCTTCATGGCACTTTTGGCTGGCATGGACATGAAAGACCACTAGAAAAATCTTGATGTGTCTCCTTGTTCCCATCTTTGCCAGGCAGGGGGTCAGAATATTTGAGAACTGGTGTATTCGTCACTTTCCTGATTCCATGACAAAAACCTGACACCCACAATGTAAAGGAGGAGAGGTTTATTTTGGCTTACGGTTTTCAGAGAATTCAAATTACCATCAGCTGGTTTCAAGGCAGAAACAGCTTGGTGGGAGGGGGTGGTGGAGGAAGGCGGTTCAACGCATGTCAACCAGGAAGCAGAGTGAAGACAAGAGCATGCTCTTCCAGTCACACCCCCAGTGGTCACCGCCAACCAGGCCTCAACTCCAAACAGCTGCTCAGCCATTGGACTCATCAGTGGATGAGCGCAGCACCCAATAATCCAGTCACCTTCAAAACACATGAGGTTTTGGGGGCACATTTTAGATCTAAATCATAACAGCTAGGCTGTTCCACGCTGCTGTTACAACTCCAAGCTAATAACACCAAGCCCATGGACCTAAAAGAATGTCCAATCTAACTAGTTTCAATAGAAGAAGCCCCTCCAGTCCATGGTCACAATTCATTTCTAAATTAGCTACATGTTTCACAAGGTTTCGCTGATCTCAAAGATGAGGATAGAGTGGAGCCCATGCTGATTCCTAGAGAAACATCATGAAAATATGGTGACCATTTTTCATGGTCTGGATGACACTTTACAGCAGAAAAAGATGTAGAACAAGATGTAGAACAAAATGCGTTGCTCTTATTTATTTATTTTTATTTTTATTTATTTTTTGGTCCAGGAATTGCAAACTGGTTGCCAGGATATTGAACCCAGTCTGGAACTATAGTTTGTTGAGCTAGCACAGTTCTTAAATTTGCATTTGGAGTTTCAGCTGGGGCATTTCTCAGAAATGTGCTACTTTCCCAGTGTTGTGGCCTTTGGAATTTGTCAGCCCTATCAACTTTGTGTTAGCTGTGGAAATTGTCTAGCCAACAACATCTGCTCATTTGTGACTGAGCCTCATGACTTCTTTTAGGACACATTTCAATACCGTGGAGAATGTCGTTTTTCCCAGAAGGGCTGCCTATTAGCAGAGAGCACCGGCTTAGAAGCTATGTTTCCCGACATTGAGGGCTTCCGGGGTATGACCTAACTCCAGCTCCCTATCCACAAAGAGGACAGTGTTCATGAGCCCCTGGAGTGAGGAATGGTGGCCTGTGGTTTGAAAGGGTTCTGACGGCTCCAGCCTGTTGGGTCTGACTTATTATTCTACCCTGATTATGCTAAGAACTTACATCCACTTAGTAGTGCAGGTAATCCAAATCAAGACTAGAATCTGAAGAGATGACCATGAAGATATTCATCCAGGACTCTTTATTTAATACTTGGCCTGGATTTGGGCTAATTTTTTTGTTTTTTGTTTTTTATACAGGGGATCAAACGCCTGGTGCTTGTGAGGCAGGTGTGGGCACTTCTGAGCTAAATCCCCGCCCACTTGGCCTGGATTCGGAGAGAATCCAGAAGCCTTACGGCAGAGGAGGAAGCATCAAAATGGCGGAGGCCCAGGAAGGTCGAGAAGATGAGTTTTTGGAGATCTTAAATGGTAAGTGCAGCTCCGCAGCCTCCTCACCTACACAGGCGTCACTCACACAGCATTGTCTTTTCCTCATTTTGTCTCTCTCCAACATCTTTTCCTGTGTGGGTAGGAGATGCTAGCTTGACATCCGCCTGGCCCCTTGTTTTCAATTTTCCCCAGGAAAGAAGGGGTTAGGGGAAGTTTGACCCAAGGAGACCAAATCATTTCAAAAACTCAAACCAACCTGTGTTTGCCTTCCTGACCTCTGGACTATTTTAATCTTGTAAGCGGTAATGATGTGTATGGGGAACAATTTTGTTGTTTACTGAGGCAGTTGAGTGATAATTGCAGAGAAAGGAGAAAGCGGAAGGCTTTTCCCACAGACTGTATTTCTTGCTGTCGTTCTCTATGCTAATATAGGCCCCGGTGTTACCTCTTGTGCATCAAGATGACAGATTCAGGAAGGGAGCCCAGCAGGGGATGAGGGCTGGGGAGAGGCCAGCCTGAGGCAAGGCCTGGACGCCTCCTCAAGGAAGAGATGGAGCTGGGCCCTCCCAGCACTGGCTGTCAGGGTTGGTCCAGTGTGTGCAGGCCGTGGTGCAGCAAGCTCTCTGCCCATAAGTGGGATTCAGGCGTGGAAACTTCCTTCTAAACTTACACATCGAAATGTTTTCTGCAGCAGCACGAAAAGGATGAAGATAGATCAAATAAAATAGATACAAGAAGGTTTGATTCTATTTTGCCTTCTTATGCTAATCTGCCTGTCCATTTCTGTGTGACTGTATTTCATTAAATATTCCTCAGGCTCGAAGTATCCGTATATTTTTCTTTCTCAGTGCATGTCCCTTACATTAGCCTCTTGTTACTGCCAGATACACTTTACTTTTTAGTCATTAGTTTATTTTTATTGTCATGTACAGCACAGTGTTTCAAGATGCTTTACAGCTAGTGTCTGTGGGAACTGACTGCAAGACCTCTGAGGGTACCAACGCCTATGGAGGCTCAAGTCCCTCACACAAAATGGTGCAGTGTTTGCAGATGATCTACACACGTGCTCTTGTATGTTCTAGATCAGCTCTAGATTACTTAGAACGCATAATATCATGTGAATGCTGTGTAAGTAGTTGCTCTGCTGTGCTGTTCAGGGAGTAATGAATGACAAGAAAAAAAACTGTGCCAGTGCACCCACTGTTTCCCAGTGACAGTGACGAACAAGACAGAGGCAGACAGTGCTCAAACAACAAGTGCTGGAAAGACTGAGGGTCCGTGAAGTGGTAGGAGGCCAAGGCAGCACTTGCATATGTGCTTTTTTCATCTATGTGGGGTCAGTGTAGGGCTTGGTGTGGGAAATTCCAGTTTTGTGTTTTGGAACTTTCTGGACCCCCCACCAATATTTTTTATCTGCCATTGGTCGATTCAACCAATGAATCTGTATAAGGTGAAATGATAATTAAACAGTCACAGGTCCATATCTTCCATAGAGTGAGTGGTAAGAGCAACTACATTTTATTCTAGTAAAGTGTCAGCATATAAGACGATATTATTAGCTATCTCTTAACTATTTACTGTAGTTGCCACCTTAGATTTCTGGACTTATCCAATCCGTATAACTGCGACTTTGCACTCTGTGACCTGCTTCTCTCCATTTCCCCTCCCGTCCCCCAGTAACTACCATTTTACTCTGTGTTTCGATTTTATTGAATTTTTTCAAGACTCTGTATATCAGTGAGATACACAATCTGTCTTTTCTGGGCCTGGTTTATTTCACTTAGCATGATGTCCTCCCGGCCGACTCACATCGTGGATGGGATATGAAGACAGCAGCATTTCCTCCTTTGTTACAGCTGGCTAATATTCATTCCATCACATATAAAAATAGTTAACAGCCCAATGTATGTAGAAGCCTACACTTGTATTGGAATTGGAAGTCTTGGGACAGCTTACAGTCTTGTTAGGTTGCCAGAGATCACATGTCCTGCGATAAAGTCTGCTTTTAATGTGATGTGAGAGATGTGGAAGGGCTGTCGATGATGTCGTGGCTTGGTGGACAGAGCCACAAAGCCTCCTGGGATATGAACAGGGACGAGTGCTCAAATCCGAATCTGCAGGTGGGGATAGTACTTTTCACTTTCACAGGCTTCCGGGTGTATCTGTGTACAGTGACCCCGAGGACCTCTGAGCTGTGAATGAGCAGGGATGGTGTTGCGGGGTTGGCTGTTGACAGAGCCTACAAAGAGATTGGGCAGGGTATTGGGTTCTAGATAATTCACCAGTTAGGAAGTGAGCCTCCTGCTCCTGACTGAGGGGACTGGAGCTCCAGACCCTCAGAGGAGTTGTTAGGGGCAGGGGAGACAGAAGGTCATGACCTAGCAGGTGTGAAGATGCTGGATTCACTGCAGGCTCTGGTCAGCAGCTACACAACTTATCCTAGGTTTCTTCTTCTGAATCTCTTTCCTGCCTTGGTCATCATTGGCTCTGAGGCTGGACAAGGTGCAGCTACAGGTGACTGGGGTAGGTTGAGGCCATGGGAGCCAGGGGTTGGCAGGAGAAAGATGACCTTGGCATTGCTATGGAGTTGCTTTCTGGTGGAGGGCTTTCCAAGCTCCTGAAAGAACCCACAAGAAAGGCTAGATGCTCAAATATAGTTATAGAAATATTGCTACAGAGGATCATATTCTTCCTTGGGTTTGTGAGGCATCCAGAGAGCAGTCTTTAAACTTAGGGTTTTGAGCACATCTGACCAAATCCAGGAAAACCTTAACTTTGACAGCATTATTCACAGGAACAGAGTCAGGTTAGACAAAGGAAATGTCCAATGGGAGAGTTCAGTGGGAGAGTGTTTGACTCTCAGGAGAGGCCCAATCCTCTCTCCCATTAAAGCTAGAAACAGAGGCCTGTTTCTCTTCTTTGTCTAGTCTTCTCAAACAATTCCCAAGTCAGAGCAAAGGCAATTTTCTGGGACAAAACAAACAATACCCGAGAAAGACTCCACTCTCCCCTTTGTATCACTCACAGAACATCCACAGGCTCCTCCCTGAAAGTAAAATGAAGTCCTCTGACTGTGCCCAGGACACTTGACTGAGGCGAGCCCGTGGCTCCAGTCTGCCTGCCCTTGTAAGCCATCATGAAGCCGTCAGTGCAAAGAATAGCCAGGGCTCTGCGTGAAAGTCTGATTCTGTAACTCACAATGTCTTTTAACCACTAAGCCTATGACCTCACTCTTCACCTCCTTTACTTTCTTATAACCTGGAGATCTTTACCTTCAGCATCTCTGCTTCAGGAGCATTTGCTGTGGGAGGGAGTGGGGAGGCCATGGCTCTGCTAGACTTCAAGCTGAACTTTCCACCTCTCTGTTCCCTTCCTTTGTCTTATCTCAGGAAGGGCTCAGGACTCTCCTGTGTGCTAAGTGAAGAGAAATCCTGTTAACACTCCTTGGGACTGTTTCTTTGAGCACAGTTAAATTGATCAGAAATAACCTAAATATATTACTGACATGCGCACGCGCACACACACACATGCACACACACACACACACACACAACGTATAACACACATTTTCAGGAGCAGAGGAGGTAGAATGAGGAGACAGGGTAGCTGCTTCTGAGGTTTTGGAGCAGGTGATAAAGCCCACAAGGTCTGATCAGCTGATGTTACTGTGAGAGGTGTGGGACTAAAGGAAAAGAAATGAAAACATGACATCCCCCTTGGTCAGACATATCCCTTTTCCCTGGAAATCAGACCTAACCAAAAAATAATCAGCCTTGAAAACTAGAGATCAAACATGCCAGTCCCAATCACCGGGCCTTACCTGCCTTTCAGAGTAGCGACTGAGCAAGAGAGTAGTGAGGTATAATCTGCTTGATGCTGGTCATCACTGTGGTAACAACCATCACTTATCTTCTGGTTAGGTCTTATTTTCAGGGAAACACAGTAGGAGCATTGGGTTTCTAGAATCCTCTGGGGACACCTGAAAAATATTGTGTGCAATTGCTCTATCCCATCATCCTTCCAGCAAAACACCATGAATAATCACAACATTGTAATAAACCAAGCACCTGTTCCTTCTCCATCTTGTTTTACCCTTATATAATTATTATCTAAACACTGTGAATTATCACCAAAAAGGTAGCCTGGAAGTCTGCTGTCTTGTTCTTAGAAAAAGTTGGACAGCTACTGTGTTGATGCTGGAAGTAGGGGTGAAGGAGCCTAGGAAAGCAAGACCGAGGCAGGGACCTGAGGAAGAAGGTTAAATGTCGAGTCAGAGTTACCTACGAGGCCTCAGGTTCATGAGAAAATAAAGGATCCAGGTGGATTTGGTCTTGCAGGCCATGTCCAGGGAACCAGGCACAGTTGAAGCAGTTTCTCCGGTCTCCTGCCTTCATTGGTCAAACTTTGTACCCAGGTTGGATGACCTGATATCCAGGGTGGTTGATCCATGTGTTTCTGCCTCTCCTCAGAAATAATGGCCATTATCTTGGTACGGATTAAACCAGATCCTTTCTAATGTATTTGTACTTGTATGTGTGAGGATTAAAAGAATTAAATAACTCAGAATGCATTATTTTGCCATTTTTCTTTTTCTCATATACTTTGCAGATTTTCCCATATTTGTACACTCTGTAAATATCTCTATAATATTATTATTTCCCCTGTGACAGGCTTTTGGCTGTTGTAGTCAATACTGCAGTGAGTATAACTCTTTGTATCCATGTGAAAACATTTCTTATAACAATACCCAGAGGTTGTACTTTAGGGTCAGCTGAGGCATTTTTTTCATGTACTATCATGTTTTATACTAAAAAAATTTCTCTTAGCTACTTGGTATTGGTGAAAATGTCTTTGGACAGAAGTCAAGAAGTATGCTATGTAATATGTTAGTTGAATTATTTATATCATTTCTTCTAATTCTCTTAACAATCTTCTCTGTTTTTTATATGAAGAAGCTAAAGCTCTGGGAGGTAAATAACTTGTCTAGGGTCACACAGCTACTTTGTGACAGACTTTGATACATGCTCTTTAATCCAGTA